CGATGAAAATGAAGATGACCACCCAGAGTTCGTCCGCAAATCCAGCAGCCAGCCAGAAGAGTTTTCGCGTGATGCCGTAGACCTGGACTGCAGCCTCTTTGTGGCTTACATGAATGGAATCCACGGGATCGCCACTCCGAAGTACCAGACATACCTTCGAGTTCAGGTTGACCACATTCGCTTGGGCAAGGATACTGAATTTGTGGATCCAGAGGGTGCGCCTTCATTGTACCTCGACTTAGTCTCCGACCATGTCATTGGCACCTTCTGCAACCTCCTCGCTGAAGATGAGCTCAATGATCTGATCACACTCTGCGCAGAAGAGCAAACCGGCAACCAAAGTGATGGAAGCTCGTCGATCCTAGACTTGGATCACCGCCAAGCACTCTTGAACAAGATCGAGAGATTCCTGCTGGACAGACTGGCGAACGGCCGCGTCGACATTGGTCCTGATGAGCTGAGCTTCTTCGCCGGCGGCATTGCGCACGAACTCGGAACCAAAACCGTGCCTACACATGTGTAAGATCTTCTTGCACATTGGCAAACAAATACCACGACTTTACGATTATGAGAAAACGTTTTCTTTCGGATTCGCCAACTATCTGGCGAGGGGCACACAATGGGACGGCTCTTTAGCCAGGAAAAGCATTCAAATTCCTCACGGGCTGATTTCGGGCTATGTTTTGACAGTGGTCATGTATTTCCCGAACTAGCACTTGATATTCAAAAACAGTTTCAAAACTTCAGATTTTCCCGAATTGAGGTAGAAGTACGGAGTAGGAGTAGCTTAGCCTGTTTTCCTGGCATCGACGTCTCGTATCACTCCAATTAGTCTATTTCGCCCTCTTCCCGCCCTATAACCTATTTAGTACTGTCCGAGTCTCAGACGAGACAGAAACAGAAGAAACAGGCCACTCTTCACTCGAGATAGCTCACCATCGAAGCATAAACCCTAAGATTTTAGATCTGCCCATGTACCGGCTGTTCAACCTCCCACAAACCATTCCGAGTCCCAGGTACTCAGCGTCGTGGCACACTGTACACATATATATCTGTAGGCACTTAAGCACTTTCATTGTACTTCCTAACTCACGCCTACATTGTAAGTAGATATTCGTTGTACTACTAGGCATATATATTTCGCATGCAACAACCAAACCAGGAACCACCGACTCCGAGCCGGCCGTTTCAGACATCCCTGCTAACCCCTGACATCCCCCAGTTCCCCTCATACGTACAACATACATGTATACCACGCCATTCTCCTTCCAGAAATCTCTTGGCAGTCCTCTAACACGTCTGATACACCGGGCCAGCCCCTTCATCCCGCATATCCTAGTCAACAAAGGACCCAGACACCATTCGGGGTTTCGGCCCGGGACATTTCTCGTTCATTCCTTGTAGGGTAGGGATGGGCTGATGTATTTTTGGATGAGTGTGCGGCTAGTGCGGTAGTTACTTCGTACTTCCTATTGCGTATAGCACAGAGGTTTTAGTGGAGAGGCAGTACTATGGGCCCAGTAGGGTCAATTGCTACTGGACTATCATATATTCCGTAGGAGGCTTTCAATTTTCAATTTGGGTTTGGACCTCCGTTTCCTCATGAGGTGGGACGACCTTCTGCAACGGGTAATTATCCACTTAGCTCTATTGAGATCAACGGGGGATCTGTCGGCACGGAGTTTCATTTGAGGATGAAAATGGAACTGTGTGCTCGTTATTTAGATGACGAGTGACATGAAATCAGGGATTGGACGGTGCCAAGCTCTCTACAGGTTACAGGTTCCATGCGTGTACGTTTTAGTAGGGAGCTAGTGCTATGGGGGAGCACGGAGTACAACATATATCAGATAATTATTTGCACTGCATGGAAGATCACTTCGGGGTTTGATATGGGGGCAACGGTAGATCCAACAGAAGCAAATAAATTCGAATGTATACAACATACTCCGTAGTCTGTAAGCGATTATGTTAGGGTAGCTAGAGATGAAATCTCAGTATAGCTGATTTTATGGATCAAACTCCACCCTAATTTTTCTTGCAACACTCAACGCTAAACTACTTCGGGTATGTCTACTACTGGCTGCAGTCGTCAACCAGCCCGTGTGAATTATTTTACACATCACATGACTTATGGCTGTACAAGATTGGGCCAAGCCAATGTACCTAGTTATACCGCCCTGTATACCGCCTTTTATATTATGCCGGTTCTGCTAGTCTAAACATTCCGAATATACTAGTTAGCTTTTATACATGTGATGTAGGGCGATGTGGCTGATAGTCAAGGGTTATACATAGAAAGGTGCCTTTTTCGCCGTCGATTTATCTAAACAAAATGATATCTGAGAAGAATACTAAACCCACCACCGGAAAGACCACTGAAAAGACATCATAGGGCCACTTATGCTGCCCTGTATTCTTGTGGTAGTATAACTGAAGGGAAGGCGGTATAAGGGCGGGATGTCTGGGTACATAGATTTGGCCCAATATTAGGTCCCACTGTACCATAACACCATCGAAGTACCATTTTGTATTCCACCAAAAGTGGTGATAGATGACGCCATAAAATGGGGATTTGAAAGGGCCCCTGAAAGGTGTCCATCATCAGGTTTGTCACCGATGTCATCGGCCTCGCCTCCCCACTGTCTGACTGCAATGCGGGACGGGAGAGATGCCACCTCAGCTCCAACAAATCGAATGAAGGCAATGGTCGTTCCTTCTTATCCGTCGTCTTCAACGTGAAAATATCCCCAGAGGTTACCAAATTCACTGATCCATCCTCGCGGCGAAAAGCGATATAATAATTATCTCCTGGTGTCTCAACAGGTCGAAATCTTGGGTCTTTCAGAGGATGCGCATTAACGCGAACACCATCATTTTGTGACCTGCCATTAAATCGTTCCTTGGGAGGAAGCCAATGAAAGGCAATTTGCATCTCAGTTTCATCCTTGTTTCTCGAGACTGGTCGCAATGCGACTAGCCCATGATCCCAGAAGTGGTGTATCTTCATGTCGAGAGTAATGAGGTTGTGTGCCTGATGGACACTCATTTCAGACCCCTTGGCAATAAGCTCTTGCCACTTAGAGACTTTCTTTTCTTCCCAGAAAGCCTTCAACCAATTCCAAACATCATCGAAATAATGCTGCTCTAACACATTGCTATCCAGCTTTGAAGGAATGATATTAGCAACCTCACACCCCATTCCCCTGTAGTGAGTCAGCTGGCAGCGTCTTTCATCTCGTATAGCAACTGCTGGCTTGACCTGATCTAAGGTCGGTCGCTGTTTGATGGAATTCTGTGCCTGATGTTTGCTAGCACTGGTTGCTCTCTGCCTTTCATCGTCTTTCATAGAGAAGACACTTTTCTTGCCTCCGACTTGTTTGTTTCAGGCGCTGACGCAGAAGACACCATATTGGAGCTTGTGCGTTTTTCGCTAGCTGATGGCAGTTTTGACTCGCGGGTCTTTACTCCCTGCACAGGGGGTTTACCTACATCCTCCATCTCGTTCTCAACTCTTTTGGGAATTTGAAGTCTCCCGGCCACTTGTTCACGTGCGCGGGATAGCGGTTGGCCAGATACTCGATGAGCTCCTTGCGCCTCGGATCATCAAACTCGGAGAGAATGTGCTGAACATCATGAATATATGTCACTGTGGTAACTTTCTTACTACGCGTAAGATATTAGAAAAAGAGAAAAACGGGTTGTCGAACGAGGCGTGTAAAGTGTGGGAAAAGGGAAGAAACAACCTTGGAAAAGTTGGAGAGCTGGGTGTGGGGCGAGTACACAACAGCCGCGGAGCGAGTGGGGGCTTCAAAACCCTATCTTTATCATGGCCTCTCATTGGTCACCTTATCGACGCAGGTCCTAGCAGTTAACTTATGTTGACCTTTTGGTCGGGATCAACGTCTGCAACGGTTGACCTCTTCCATCCTGTAACAATATATCACCTAGAATTACACCTCGTCAGCAAATTAAGCTATATATTACTAAGACTAGGCGAGAGAATAGAAAGCTAGTACTATAAACAAATAGGTTCTAATAATAAACGGAAGCTAGCTCGCTAATAGGAAGGTATTGAAAATAGAGAGATCTATATAGAAGAGATAGAGTAGTATAGAGGGGATTACTATTTAGACCCGCTAAGATCAGTTTTTACCTATTGCCACTATCTGATATACTCTGTTTTGCTTTAATACTAGTAACACTATAGTAATCTAAACCAAATAACACATATGGTGGCCTCAGGTTCAAACCATAGGCCTGCCTGCCTAGGTAGACACCTATATAGATAAGGTCAGCATTTTGCAATCTAGCTGAGATTACATTTCCCACGAGCGATCCTGTACCCTCCCGAAGAAGTAGCTCTTTTCATTTAGAAACCCTCTCTTTGCCCCAGGAATATCCAGGCCTTTTTCTTCTCAAGAAGACCATCCTCTTGGTTCTGTAGCGCCGACGGAATGATGTAGGAAGTTCTATTAATAATTGGTCCACCTCCAGTCAACTTGCACTTAAATGAATCACGTTGGCGAGCTTGAAGCTTCACGTCTTTAAGTGTCTGTTGATTGACACGGTTAGCGTTGATATATCTTGGTTTCCTCTATGTCTTTGTGGAGACACTTGCTGTTGCGGAAGGTTGATTGTCATCATCTAGGCCGTCATAATGATGACCAGTCCCCTCTGCGCCTCCAAAGTTATTGGAACGACCTGGGCAGCCCCCTGATTGAGTCTAATTAGTCGAGAGCTATACCAGATAGGATGGAGGGTGAAGTGAAGACTCACAGATCGAAGGAATATTTTACAGAAAATAGTCTCCCAGCATTTCATTAATCGCACTTCCCTCTTCTCCTACCGCTGCAAGCTTCTGCAATATTTTCAGGTCTGCGAACCAGAGACTCTATGATCAATGTCTATCAGGTCTTCAACCCGATAAGCCTGGATATAGCTGGGCCTTTGGGGTTGTCGCATTGCGCCCGATTTCAGTCAACCAAGATCAGACTGAGATGCAGGTTGCATTTCATTGGCTTCCTCTCCAGCAGGGAGTAGGGAACATCAAAACAAAGGATAAGGTGTCAATCCTTCAAAATCCATTTCAAGACCTACAATATCGGCCTGTTGAAACTCCTGGGGACAATCTCTACGTCACCGCCCGTCTCGAGGATACGACAACTCCTACTTTGGTCTCTTCCGGGCATATCCTCACAGTCAAGGCCGACGATAAGTATGAACGCCCGTTGCCTTCATTCGATCTACAGGAACTTAGATGGCACCTCTCGCGTGTTGCAGCCTTCCAGGGTGCAGGGGAGAATGAGGATGGATCTTATGACTATGAGTACAAGTTTGATCCTGTGTCTGGTGGCGGAATCGGATCCTGATTTTGATTACGAGATGACTCAGTCCTTTTAGTCCATTAGCTTACCCTGTCCCTAAATCCGGAACTCTCTATTCTCCGCGTTTTTTTTTTTCTTTTTCTTTTTCTTTTGGCATTCTCTAGTTAGTCATTGGAAATTCCAAGGTTGGAAATTGTAGTATAGTAACTATATCCCGAGCTCTTATCCCTCTCCATACGATGATGAATCAACTGCTCGACAGTTCGCTTGCTGCAATGGCTTATATAGGGGAGCCATCTCACTCTCCACATTCCGTGGTCGGCACGGTTGCTCTCAGCGCCGGGTAACCAAGCACAATACCAAGGGTTTGCTTCACAAAACCCCTAACAAGTGCTACATTTATAATAAAATCGTATTTTGCATCTCGCGTATTAGAGCGCGTACTCCGTAGAGGTTGGCAGGGATCCTAAGCGATTATGAGATACCCCTTTCAGATATTGACTAGACCTATGTGGCTTGAAATAAGAGCGTACTGCGAATATAAGTCTTAAGTAGCTCATTCCAAGAGTAAGGGTTGGAAACAGAAAATAAGAGACTTCTTTCGAGAGGGCTTGACTCACAATAGAATCCTCTTGAGAGTGAATCAATCACAGTAGGGCCTTTTGAAGAGCACAGGCCAGAAAGCGACACATCATATGAACTGGCTCTTCGTACCACTTCTCTCTCCAATAATCCTAGGCCTAGATAAGTTTTGAGATATGTCGAATACCAAGTCCGAATATGTTGTACATGGTAGAAACCAGATATTATACACGAAGTCGTATGATTTCTAGTATACTCATTACTTAGTTTACCTTGCAAAAGTGCATATTACAGTTAGTCATCGTTTACGCATTGCTGAAATTGCGTGTTTTTTGTGGAATTAGTTAGAGTTCTTCATATATGCCATTTTGCCTACACATTTCAATACAGACAGATTTCTGTCAGAGGGGAATAAGCGTGCAAATCGAGCCTGAGCATCAGGACAGGAGGAAGACTAGAAGTTCTAGGTGGGTGCAGAATAGAGATGTTACAGGGGCGGTCAAGCGACGAACGTCCAAAGTTACGAGTGGAAAGGCAGCCGTTTCTGGCCTCAAAAACGGTCATTTTCGGCGTCAAACCCACAGGTCCTCAGATTCTACGGAGTGGTTGAAAACTTGGATCTATCTACTACTATGCACCTGTGTCGGAGGAATGTGACCGTTTCGGAGTGACAGATCATATAAGGATAATCAGTCGTGCATATCCAAAATTGAAGTGTCGACTCGCCGTTTTTAATTAAATGCGCTGACGATCACAACGGCGTAGAGCACAGACAGCACCGGGAGGAACCTTGGAAAGGTGTAAGGTACAAGGCAAAGCATATTCCGTATAAAGTAAGTCGTAGTATGTAGGTACGGAGTAGGGGGCTTTTGTTTAGACTTTTAGAGCGATGCGGTGAAGGCGATCTAGTGGGAACTGGCTTTTGCTTCCTCTTTTCTGTCATTTTTCTCGTCCTTCCAAGGTTGTTGGTCTCGCTGTGGATCATTGACGATCACCTCTTTCCGCATTCGGAAGATATTCTGCTGCACAGTATGTGGGTCAATGATCGAGGAGCTAATAAGAAGACATATGAAAGTGCATATCATATACGCCGTTCTGCATGGACGTTGTATGGATCTCATGCATGGAGTGTACGGAGAAATAGGCGAATAAATCACGGAGAGATTTGGCCAATCCATCAATCCGAATAATCAGTCTTCTGTCGATCACGGCAGGATCCTTGGTTTATTGAAGTCTCCGCACACGCTAGGATGTGGAGCCGGGAGGGATTGTCATGAAGGGTTTGACAGCTAGGGACCATAGTGGACCGTCTTTCTTTCTGTATGGGGTATGTTGGCTCCAACAATGGAGTTCGGGGATAGGATATGTCCGCTCGCTCTAGCTGAACCAATTTTTTTTTTTCGTTATGGCGATTATCAGTTGAAGTGAAGTCATAGCCACGCGTGCGATGGCAAACGGGGCGGTGGGTGAGGCTTATTCAGGAAACAGTAAGAATGACGATATTTCAACGCTGAATATAACGTGTAGTGTTTCGTTGTGGGATACGGGTGACTCTTGTGTGAGATGGGCTGAAGATGGTACTTGGACAAGATCCTCAGACGTGGGCTGTACGGAGCCCATAGTAAGCTGTCTCTAGGGCTGTGAGGGTGGTACGGATACGGAATGTACAGAGCCCAAAATGTGCAGGATGAGATCTGACATATCACTGAAACTATGCAGCAGCTCTGCAAGGTGCAACAATTTCTAGGTACGAGGTATGCTGTACAATTATTCATTGCTTTTTCCGGGGTCTGCTTTGAAGTAAACTCCTGATATTCTCGCATGATTCAGGGCCTACGACAATCTCCATTGTGATCGTTAGTTACTGCTAGTGCGCGCTACGCACTGTAGCGCCTGGCAATAGTGGCCATAACCCTCTCTTGCTCATTGCCACATGGGCCCACTTGGCCCGAAGTCCTGTCATCTCCGATATTGTATACTCAGGTGGGTACGGAATACTCTGTGCACTCCGTATATTTCGTACATGCCATATTATCACATCTTCTATAATATGCATATAATGAGACAATATTCTCAGCCTCTCATTCGGCTAGGATATTTTCCAAGAAATGAATCGAATGGAATTCCATGGGTGGGAGTTCGGCAAAATAATTGATTGGAGGATCCAGAGTTGGTAGAGGAAAGGTTCAGATCAGGTACGGGGGGTGCGCGTCACATGGGGGGCGACCTAAGAAGATGCTGATTGGGGAAATTGATATAATTTGGGATATTGTCTCAGATATTAAAGTGTTCTAAGGTTTTGAAAATCGTGCAATATGTGTATAAAGTTTCTAGAAACTCGAAAATGGGGACCGAGGACCCGTAGCATGGCATTTCAGCGCCACAGGCTTATCCTCGTGTGCCCCTGGGACCCGTGGAACGGCTGAGGAACGTGTGGAAAAAGGATGCTCTGCGCTAGCAGCCGCACTACCGAATGCCACCCCCGTAACAGCGGGTCACAGTTAAATGAAATATATCACAATTAGAAATACTTTCTCGTGATACATCTTCATAACCCATGTACCCTGCACTACCTACTTCGTAGGCAGACTTCTAAGAATGTCGAGAAGGTACAAAAATCAATAATTGCACCAAGAAGGGAATGGTGTTAAAGGCTAAGTGAGTGCCCCCGCCACCCAAATCCATGGAACTCCATTAAATGATTGGCCGCCCACAACCAATGGGGCATGAAACGAGGTGCAAGCGGGGCACTTTAGCGTGCCGATCGCTGGAACAATTGTTCTGTTTTTTTTTCCCCCTGGAAGCTCTTGCGGGTATTTTTCTCTTCTCCAAATAAGGGGAAATTGTGGTTTTTTTTTTGAAAAGCTTCTCAATAAGATATACAATAACTACATGAATTAAATATCTATAGAATAGGCGACGGAGTACTCCGTATGACATTTAAAATAAGAGGAATAACTTAAATAAGGTACAGGGGTCTTTACAATGCAACCCGAAAAGAAAAGTGTAAATCAGGTAAGATTGTAAGATTTGTATACAATTGCTCCATAAATTATTCGGTAGTCGACCCCGAATATTCCCAAATCCCCACTGACTCAGGTTGAATAATTACTCCTGATTCTCTCCCCTGGTCATTCTCTCTTATCCTTTTGCTTCTTTCTACATTCCCTATGCCACGGTATGAGATCGCATCTTTGATTCCAACGGGTAAGTTGTAAATCCATCTTCCATTGTCACGGGAGTCGGGGTGAGGTTGCTGCGCATGCAAGTCGTACAACGGCCCCCCCCCCAACTTCCCTCAAGTCAGATTTCCCGCAGAATCGTGTCAGACTGACATTCCTGGGAGTACAGGATGATTTAGAAATTTCGATTTCTACCCAGCGCCTTCCCGTTATCGAGGTCTGCAAAGGAAGAAAAAGAGGCAACCCAAACTCTCGAGTCCTCGAGCCCTCGACCTAAATAAATCTGGGGTTCACAATGCAGTCCATCAAAACACCCGACTTCCTGGATACTGGGGCTGTGTCCCGCTCGCGCAGTCCCAGCGTTGTGTCTAGCGATTCACAATTTTCTCGAGTCAATCTCATGTCCCCGCCGTCTGTGACGCCGGCTCCAGCATTCATCTCGCCATCTGCGGCTTCGGATATCATCTCTGCTGACCAAGAGTTCAACGCTGCCGATTTCGTGGCCGAGGATGAGGAAACCGGGGCCGGCGCCACGGCGTTGGTAACCCCGGCCGCGTTATCACTCCTGAACGGATTTCTCGATAACCTCTTATTTAATATCCTCGCTTCGTCAAAGTCGACTCAGCTTGCTTCCCTTCGACCCGCAATGGCCGATGTATTGAAGCCCCGTTTGGCCAAGGAAGTTGTGTCCGCGGCTGAAGAAGAGTTGAGTGAATTTATGGGCGGAGCGGAGGATGAGCAAACGGAATTCCGTGGTGGCCAGGAGCCCAGCGGCGATTTTGATTTAATACGCTCATGGAAATTAACTCGTCTACGATGCATGGTCTACACACGACTAGGCGACATGGAAGAGGATGATGAAGACGAGTTTATCGCACAAGATAACTTTGGAGAGACCGATGGAGCACCCCGTAGATTTACCAGTCATGTCGACAACATTACACCGGCAGCCTCTATTTTCCTTACCTCGATCATCGAATACATTGGCGAGCGCGCACTCGTCATTGCCGGCGAGACAGCGCGATCTCGTTTGTCGGCACAGCTCAACAATGGTGATGAGTTAAGTGGATCCGGAGAACGGAAAAGAATCGATCGACTTGTAGTGGAGGATCTGGATATGGAGAAGTTGGCCCTGAATGCAACCCTGGGTCGCCTGTGGCGCACGTGGAGGCAGCGCAAACGCAGAACCACTCTTTCTCGAACCCTATCTCGTGAATCATTCCGCCCTCGTGGATGTTCCATGGCAAATAGCCGAAAGAGCAGCATTGTGACCATTGAGGAACCAGTGACTCCCAATGAGCCTCTCCCCGTGGCGATTCCGCCTCTCGACCCCGCCACCATTCCCTTGCCGATGAGTGATTACGATGTTCAAGAGATCGAAGTTCCAGGCTACACGGGCAACCTAGACGGGGTGTATGGGGAGGTGCAGACGATGCAGGCCGTTGTTGCTCACAAGGTGCGACCACGCAGTCTGATGGTGTTTTCGTCGCCCTCCCTTATCCCCAAATCTCCAGGTTCAGCAAACGTCTCGCCCGTGAGTGCGTCAGCTATTGAACCCGGGAAATCAATCCGCCATGTTCGTACGAGGTCTCTGCCTAATGGGGCAGCCCCACCTGACTCGACCGACGAAGAGCCAGAGTCGCCAACTGACCACCCATCGCCTACCGCATCGGAGAAAAAGCAACTCGAGACTATGTACGAGGATGATGAATCGGCAGAATACGTGGACGCAGCCGAAACTACCCCTGGCGTTGCTATCACGGCAGAACACGAAGAAACCCCATGCTTCGAATCTGCAGCACAAGCTTCCGAAAAAGCCAGAATGTCGATATTGCATGAAGAAGAGGAGGAGGCACCCGCAGTCAGTGACATGGTTTCGTCCTTGCGCACTATCGCGCAAGATGAAGACGCCACGACCGATAAATCCAATAGTACTCGCGTGTCCATTGTATCATTGGGCGATCGACCAAATCATAAAGACCCAGAAGTGATTGAGGGCACTGGATTGTGCGAAAAGCCTAAATTAACTTCGACGATACACCGACCAAAGCGACAATCCTCCAGGGATGTCAGTCTCCTGAATGCGACGTCGGTTTCTGGACAGACTAGTGACCCTGAAACGCAAGTCGTTGCGGAGAACAGGCCTCCAATGCAAGGGGTTGAGACCACGCCGGCTCCACCCGCACCGCCCATCGAGGCTATCACACCTCTGAATCGTGATGCGACTGATGAAGCTCAGGATAAGGTGATCATGGCAACCACGCCTACGACTCGGTCATCGGATGAATACCCCGAAACAACAAATTCTTCGCAATCTCTCTCCCCTGATATGCCTCGCCCGATTTCTGTTTCAGGTAGTTCGCAACGATCTAAAACTCGTCCTAGACCTGCTCCGTTGGAAGTGGCAGCCAGCAATCGAAGTCTCTCCGCGTCCGCCTCCGCCGTTGAACGCGCGGCTGTTCAGCGCATGTCTCGGCCATCGGTATCGATGTCTTCCCGTCGGTCTGGGAGCTTTGGCAGTGCTCGCGAAAATACGCGTCCAGTGACTGCTAGCTCTACCACATCACAGGTGTCTAGCAAGCTGAAGGGTATCATGGGTCGACCTCAGGGTGAATCTGGTTCGCTGCGCATGCGGAGCTCGTCTGAAACTAGTCGCGCATCCGGTGGCAGCGGAGACTCTACAGAGAACGATGTTGCCGATTTGGACAAGTTGATCAACAGTGATGAAACTATTCATTACACCCTTACTCCACGAAGTGTGAGGGAGATGACATTCCCTGAATCGTCCAACCGTGCAGTTCCTCGATCAGAGACGGCAGGCGGCGTCTCCGACCTGGCTGCATTCTTGAATACCACTGCACCACCAGGCGAAGATAAACACCGCCCCCACGCCTCGGTTTCCTCAAAAGCAACTGGAGAAATGAGTCCAGTCTCCCACACCAGATCTATTGAGTCACCCAAGCACATCCCGCTTACCACGCGCTTGACCAACGCGTCATCAACATCCAGATCTAGCAGGATTGGACAGGCGCGGGATGCGCGAGTCTCGCCCTCGGATTCGACACGCGACTTTGCGGAATTCATGAGATCGACTGGCCCTGCTAATGGGTCATATGAGTCTAAGACCTCTCTCTCTGCCGAGAGCACGCGCCCTGTTCGCCCTCCATCAACTGTCTCCACTGGCTCCCGTGGAAACCGGCCTAAGCTCGAAGCTCGTTCTGCTGAGACGAAAGGATTCCAGACCTCGGACCTTATCGACTTCATTCGCGAGGGACCTCCTATGCCAGGAGGTGCTCATCGTATTCCTCGGACAGTTGCACCTTTCCGCAACACCATCGATTCGGATGATATTATGATGGAAAACACAACATCCAGCTCCTTCGTCAGTGCTGGTAATGGATCTACACCGAATAAATCCTTGTCATCTCTTGGTTCGCGGACTGCGTTGCTGGATTCAAACCGAAGCAAGCCTACAGCATCGGGAAGCGCCACGGACTTCAACGAACCCAAGCCTGTTCGGAAGCAACGTCGTGCTCCAGATCCCTATGCCATTGACGACGATGACGATGACGCGCTTCTAGAAGAGCTTCTGGAAAAAGAAGCAAACCCTAAGCCCAGGCGCGAGGAGGAGAGCCTGATGGATTTCCTGCGCGATGCCCCTCCTCCTCCTTCCGAACAACCCCCACAGCCATTTATACTTAGTAATCCTACATCAAATGGTCTCTCCAGTGCATCGGGCATGAAATCCCGTTTGCTCCGCACATCCCAGAACTCTTTGCGCACACAACCCGCTCCCACAAAGGTCCAGTCCAACTACTCTGCCAAGGTTGGCCAGGAACGCAACAACGGCACCATGCCATCTATCTCAAACCGCAAGACCGACACTGGTGATTTGGCTGATTTCCTCCGAAACACCGGGCCTCCTCCGGGCCCTATACGGTCTTCATCAACACCGATGGGCCCTAAGTCGAAGGACGGTGGTCTTTCCCGTTTCTTCACTCGCCGAAGGAAGGTCGAGGCCTAATGGGTAAAAGTACCCTGATGACATTCTTGACTAATGTCTTGCTTTGCTGAGCGTTCTAATTCATCTAACGATCTACATATCATGTCCATCGCTTCCATCTTTCTTGGCTGTGCAACAGCACTGCCATCATTCATTCATTCTTGTCACTTCATTCATATAGAGTCATCCTCTCTTTTCTTTATTGTTCACTATGGCTACAACCAGGTGGTTTTTTTTTCCCTTATTTTCGTCTTGCGCCTTTGTGCGCTACTTTGTTATCTACCCTTCTGCGTGGGACTGAACGATTAATACGGACTTCGGGGTTTCTATTTTGTCTCTACGTTGGGACGCTGCTTTGACTGCTTTCGTGGATTTCAAGATACCATGCCTATATTTGGGCTATTTTTCAATGCTCTGACACTTAGAAACCATATATCATTATCCTGTGAATACCATCTCCAATATATAGTAAAAGCTCCACTTAAATAAATCCGAAACAATCAGACCCTAGCAATATTTGCCGTGTGAAATGAGAAACCCCTCGCTCAGTCGAAGTATAGATCCCAGACCGTGGCCCCGGATCAAAGTTAATCCCGCTCTCCCCTTACCAGGTGTCATCAACAGCACCAAGCATTCGTGTTTACAATCGCCAATTCCACGCCGCAACAATGGGCACCTCACCAATCACGCTGAGGGCCATCCTTGGTTTCCTCTTTGTCTTTTTCCAGCTCGCCAGCGCCCTAAAATTCGACCTCGTCGCCACCTCCGGCGGCGGCAATAACGAGCGATGCATTCGCAACTTCGTCTCGAAGGACCAGCTCGTCGTTGTCACTGCTATTGTTGGTGGTACCAAGGGTGATGGCCAGAGGGTCAATATTCATGTATGTGGAATTCTTTCTGGGTGTGGATATGATTCGGTGCTGCGTCTGCTAAGACTTGGATGCCAAACCGCCGAACTGCATTGTGGACCCCGACTAATACCCTTTTTTTTTCTGCATAGATCAAGGACTCTATGGGCAATGACCACGGTCGCCCCAAGGATGTCGTCGGCGAGACGCGTCAGCTGTTCACTTCGCCCGCGGACACGGCTTTCGACGTCTGCTTCGACAACCAGCTTGTCGGCCACAGTAAGTGGTAGTCCCCTCGAACAACTCGAACAATCCAGCAGGGGAAAATTCAGGATTCGAAGAAAATGATACTAATACCACCCGATTAGACGGTATCGCAAACCCCTCCCGCCCCATCGAACTCGACGTCGACATTGGCGCCGACGCCCGCGACTGGAACAGCATCCAGTCGCAGGAGAAGCTCAAGCCCGTTGAGACAGACCTCCGCCGCATCGAGGAGATGGTTGCCGATATTGTGACCGAGATGGAGTACCTGCGCTCGCGTGAGCAGCGTTTGCGTGATACCAACGAGAGCACCAATGAGCGCGTGAAGTGGTTCGCTTTCGGAACTATGGGCATGCTTGTTGGTCTTGGTGCTTGGCAGGTTGTTTACCTGAGGGCTTACTTCAGGTATGTCGAATTGTGGTTGTGGTGGAAGATGGAATTGGTTACTGACTATTCGATTGTAGATCTAAGCACCTTATCTAGATTTACTGGTCGAGTGGTTGCATCTTTGATGGTTCTTTTTTGGTTTTGCAGCGGTTGCATTGCAAATCCTTTTGTTCTAATGTCGAGTGGCATTCTGTTAAACAGTCATGATCTCAATGATATAAAATGTACACCATGCTTTCTGCAGCCTGGCGTTAATAATATGTTTCTGTTCCTCGCATGTGATGCCTCGGGGATGGGTGGTTAACTATACTTTGTAGGGCGGAAGGAGCCTTGGTCTGACCCGAGTACATCGTATTCATGGACGGATTATTATTTACCTATGTATGTTGTTAAACAGTGGGGAGCTACATGAAGGTAGCCCTGGAGGGAGCTTCCCAGTTTTAGATGTATATTTGAGGTTAGTGTATACATTTAGATAGACATCTTGTAGAGTGAGTGGTTCTGCGTTCGATTAAACCATAATAACAGGCAGGCAAAGACAGCAAGCAAGAAGCGCGCCAATAGACACATACCTAGATACAATCTAAGGAACTGCGCTATGTCGAGAAGTGTGTAATCCGCAGCCTCTCAGTGGAATGTTTTGACTTGCAAACAAAACAAACACCGGGCATTGCAGGAGCTTCTCGGCTCCCCGAGGCATTACACCGGATGATGTCAAAGCCGAGCATCAAACGCCAACTCCTTATCCCTAGAGGAAAGAAAGCCTCAACTCTCTCTCTATAGGATATTTTATAACAAGATGTCCGCCCCGCGTATACTTCATCGCCTTGCGCGACCAGTGCCATCATCCCTAAGCACAATCACAAGACTAAACCGCCAATTCGGCGCAACAGCTCTACGCCTCAAAGACGATGCTCCCGAAGTGAAAGCGCACCGCGCAAACCAGACCAACAAGGGCCCGAACCAATTCGTGCCCAACACTACCTCGACCATGACAAAGGACTTCGTCAATGTCGGCGAGAGGCCCCCGCCCCCGGAGATGCTGAACTCAGTCGATCCCAACTACAGACCATCCGATCCGTATCCCGGAAGGATTGAGCATTTCACCGGTGGTCGCCAGCATGACGGGGCGCAGAAGCCCGAGCTTGGCGTTGGTGAGATGGAGGGTATTACATTTAAGGTTGAGCCTTTGAAGCGAGTTGGAGAGGAACTGGCCACGAAGAGGGCACGTCTGCTATGTTCGTACCTGTTCCCATGAATGTTTGCACCTCGGTCCCAATGCTAAAGCTGGGGATCGGGTGCATGAGCACTCCAATAAACATTCAGGCTGACCAACTTCACTCTAGACCAAAGCCGCAAGCGCGGAATCCTGGAGTCAGACCTGCTCCTCTCGACCTTCGCAGATGTCTACCTGGGCAAGATGAACTACGATCAGCTCGTCGAGTACGATAGCTTCCTCGACGAGAACGACTGGGACATCTACTACTGGGCAACGCAGGACGCGCCAGAGGATATCTCACCCTCCGCTCCTAAGGAGGATACCATCACCGAGGGTTGGAAGGAGACCGGTGCCAAGAGCGGTGAATGGGCGCAGACGATTGGCGCTTTCAGAGCGGCTTACCGGCCTGTTCCGTCGCGCTGGCAGGGCTCTGAGGTTCTCACGCTGCTCAGAGAGCATGTTCGCGATAAGAGTGCTACTGGCTTTGAGAAAGCCAAGAATAAGAAGACTGGCGGTGGTGGCTTAGGGAGAATGCCTGATGTTCAGGTGTTTAACTCGTAAAAGCCTGTCAGGGATTTTGTCGATTCAAAAACTGTACTATAGTTGTCATAGTGGTCATATTGTCCATTGGAGGCGTGTATTAAGAATGTTGTATATTTGATGGTACTAGGGTCAATGGGTGTAAAGATCACAAGTTGAGATAGAAAAACAAAGCAAGTGTAAATTTCAAATATGATAGGGAAAATTTGAATGCAAATCGACATTCAATTCTCTATCTTCGATATGTATACATTGTAGTCGATGCTGTATAGATGCAAGTCATGTGACCAGTTCGCTTAGTATTAGGGCTCCACGGAAACCACACAAGGAGAGCAGCGAAGCGGCTTAGGGCTTGAGCGGGCACGTCTGCCTCCCATCTCGATTTTACCTCCCCCCCAGAGTCAACGACAATCTCCGCCCATCCCTCTCTCTCCTTCATTGTCTCATTCCCATCATGGCTGAGCAGCTGGTTCTTCGCGGCACCCTTGAGGGCCACAATGGCTGGGTTACTTCCCTCGCCACCTCCCTGGAGAAGTAAGAATGACCTATCCCGATCGGGGGATTGAATTTTTGAAGGGACAAAATTCTGACTTGAATGTTTGATGATAGCCCCAACATGCTGCTGTCCGCATCCCGCGACAAGACCCTGATCATCTGGAACCTTACCCGTGATGAGCAGGCCTACGGTTACCCCAAGCGCAGCCTCGAGGGTCACTCGCACATCGTCTCTGACTGTGTACGTTTTTCTTCTCCCGAATGAACCACACCCAGAAACCATTGGATGCGACAGATGGATTTGGATGGCGCATTTTCGAACAAAAAAAGATGGAATGGTTTTGGCTGACCGATGGTCTTGTCCGCGTTATAGGTGATCTCCTCCGATGGTGCCTACGCTCTGTCCGCCTCGTGGGATAAGTCTCTCCGTCTCTGGGAGCTCTCCACCGGTAACACCACCCGCACTTTCGTCGGCCACACCAACGATGTTCTGTCCGTCTCGTTCTCGGCCGACAACCGTCAGATCGTCTCCGGTTCCCGTGACCGCTCCATCAAGTTGTGGAACACCCTCGGTGACTGCAAGTTCACCATCACCGACAAGGGCCACACCGAGTGGGTTTCCTGCGTTCGCTTCAGCCCCAACCCCCAGAACCCCGTCATTGTCTCCGCTGGCTGGGACAAGCTCGTCAAGGTACGCTATCGATTCCGAATTTCCCTGCAGAATTTCCTCCCCGCCTTGCTTTGCCCGCGTGATGTTTGCATAAACGTATTTGCTACTTCAGAGCCCTTCGGGGCCATGAGACAATTTTTCACCTATTTTGCCTGATGGGCACAGCAACAATTTTTTTGTTTTTTTATTGAACGAGAGAAGGATTGGAAAAATTTTTCCTTGACAACTTGACATTCTTTGAGGGTATCGACGCTAACATTTGATTCGCGTCTAGGTTTGGGAGCTCGCTTCCTGCCGTCTCCAGACCGACCACATCGGTCACACCGGATACATCAACACCGTCACCATCTCCCCCGACGGATCCCTCTGCGCCTCCGGTGGCAAGGACGGTACCACCATGCTCTGGGACCTTAACGAGTCCAAGCACCTCTACTCCCTCTCCGCTGGCGATGAGATCCACGCTCTCGTCTTCTCCCCCAACCGCTACTGGCTCTGCGCTGCCACCAGCAGCTCCATCACCATCTTCGACCTCGAGAAGAAGAGCAAGGTTGATGAGCTCAAGCCTGAGTTCGTTGAGAAGGGCAAGAAGAGCCGTGACCCCGAGTGCATCAGTTTGGCCTGGTCCGCTGATGGCCAGACCCTGTTCGCCGGTTACACCGACAACAAGATCCGTGCCTGGGGTGTCATGTCGCGCGCTTAGATTTGAGTTGTTGTATCGGAGCTTGAGGAGCCTCTTTTTGATCTATTGACAAGGGAATTGAAAAAAAGTTCAAAAGATACGGCCAAAGAGCATTGGTTTGGGATGTATGAGCCACGAGCAATGAAGCACTTCTCGCCGGGACTGAGATGTCCCCGGCCTGAAGGTTTTCTGACATGTCTAGCTTACTTGATCCGCAATGTATGGAATCTTGTACAAGACGTGTGATGTTCTAATACCAGTTAAGGCATCAAAATGTTTCCTATTTTTCAATATCGAAAATCTCTTGTAAAATCATCGTACCCGTATGTCTTCCAATATCTTCAATGTTTCTGTGTCCTATAACTTCCCACTCTTGTAGCTCATTACATATGTACATAAGGTACTGCTACGAAAGCCGCTGTATATACCTCTTCACAAGCAGTGTTAAATGATACATAGGTTGAGATTTCTATTTCCAACACGGGTCATAATGTACATCAGGCTGAACAGAGTCCTTCACCAATCTATCTATTATTTCTTTCCAAGTCTCTTCAATGCCTCCTGGGCCATCGTACTTCCTTCTTCGTATCCAATCCCATCGGCCAACGCCTTGGCCTCAGTATACCGTTGCTTAGCAACCTCTGGCTTCTTTTGAAGCTCAGCCAGCTCGCCCAGGTTATATGTCGCAACCACGCAAGTAATGTCACACTCCTCGTCACGTAGCGGGGGTTTAATGTGCGCCGCAACCTCAATGGCCTTCTCTGCCCATTTCTGGGCAGCCTCAACAGTTTGCTGTGCTGCAACAGGTTGCTGTGGTTGAGACTTGGCGGGCACTTGAACCTGGCCGACTAGAGCGGTAGCGACATCGTTCAGCAGCACCACCTGCTTGCAAGAAATAGAGGTTCCTTCAGCAGCGCGGATCAAATCCAACGCACGCATATACAGCGGCATAGCCAGTTCATACCGCTCCTTGGCGGTATAGGTAGCGGCCAGCTCAGCCAACGCCGTCGCGATCTCAGTGAGGTTCAGCCATGCCTCGCCCTCTGACCCCTCACCACTGCTAGAACTTCCAACGGGAAGTCCCAGTCTCTGGCGGCGGTGCATTTCCTTTAAACAGATCTCCACAGCAGCGACCTGCGCAGCCTCAGCTTTCTTCTCGTCCTGTATATACTCGCTAGAATAGAGCTCGCCAAGCTTCATCGCAATGCCGACAACTTTCTTGAGGGCTTTGTCTCGCTGACGAGTCTCGTATTGCGCCCTTGCTTTCAAGTCCTCCTCGGTTTCCCGAATTGCCTCGGTATCAACCTGGACATTGGAAGTTGTCTGCACCTCGGTCTGCACCTGCGCCTGCGCTTGCGCTTGCTTCACCTTCTCGGCGGCAGCAGCAGCATTTCCTGCTGTGACTTCGTCCACCCAGGCCAGAGTCTCGTGCTTCGTTCGCTCCAACACATCAATCGCCGGCTTCACAAGTCCAGCCTTCTCCAGCATCATAGCAACCTGCAACTTGATTCCAAGTATCTCATCCGAGTATGGGTGTATACCCATTTCAAATGCGATATGAAGCGCCTCTCTGTACGCCTTCATTGCCTTGGCCGGGTTGAGATCGATCTCGGTGTAATACACAGCCGTGCGGAGAGCGTCGGCCACTGGTGGCGGGAATTTGTGGTACTGCGGCCCAACACGTGTCACTTCAACGTAGGAGATATAGGCGAAGATGAAGGCTCCGCCGACAACGGAGAAGATGGCTAGTGGCATGAGAATGGGGTTCTTGCGCCAGATTCCTTTAGATGCTTCGCGGTATTTGCGGCTGATTTTCTGCAGGATCGTGAGGTGTCGTGTGCCAGAGATGTATGGGCTTGCGAGTGGTTTGCCATTGTTGATTCGCGGTTGGAGGGTTGGCCGGGTGGTGCTGTTGATGTGTATTGAGCGGGCCAGACTCTTTGGCTGTGGTTGTAGAAGTTTTGCGGCATGCGCACTCGCGCGCCGTGATGCTGCGCGGAACATTGGGAGTGTGTGAGTCGGTATCCGATTGAGATTTCGAGTTTCGATTTTGAATGAGCGGGTTGTTGTCCGATACAATTTGTGTGATTGACGTGGCGAGTAGAGTGGGAGAGCGAGAGGTGTGAGTTGATGGAGAGCCCGCCCTCGGTTTTCTGGTGGTCCAAGCTCCGCTCCGCCATATGACGTCGCCTGCCAGAGTATGCACTCGCTTTACACCCATCCTGTCCAGAAAATGCACTCTGTTGATCGAGCATTGACTGTGGAGACCTTGCTGCTGAATATATCAAGTGGATCGCACTGATAATGTGTGGACGATACGCTTTGGGCGTGGTATGTTATGGCTCCTGCGTTTAGACTGTCCGCCAGCTGACGGTCCCAAGCGCTTGGCGTACATCCGACAACGTATGCAAGAGCAAGGCATGCAAGTGGATGAAGCGCCAGACGACGATGCGGTCAGAGAAACATATAACTTTGCACCCGGCAATTTCGGCGTTGTCTATCGCGCTGATATCACAGAGAAAAGGAGCTACGATGCTCAGCAAGATGCTGAAAGCGAGCACCCAAACAAAGGTTTAGAAAAGGGGAAAGATGATGTGGGTTCGGATGTTAATCCAGCAGACAAAGACAACACGGTTATCAAATACAAGCTTCAGAGCATGAAATGGGGTCTCATCCCATTCTGGACGAAGCGTCAGCCGGATTACGGATCCATGATGCGAACGATTAACTGTCGCGATGACTCGTTGATTGAAGATTCTGGCATGTGGACTACCATGAAGCGACGAAAGAGGTGCATTGTCATATGCCAGGGCTTTTACGAATGGCTGAAGAAGGGGCCTGGGGGCAAAGACAAGGTTCCACACTTTGTCCGGCGCAAAGATGGGGGGCTAATGTGCTTCGCTGGATTATGGGACTGTGTTTCCTATGAGGGCATGTCCAGGCTTCTCTGATATGAGACATTAATCGGGCTGACTATTACTCTGCACAGGTTCTGACGAAAAGCTCTACACATACACAGTGATCACGACCTCTTCTAATTCCTACCTGAAATTCCTGCATGAACGTATGCCCGTAATTCTGGACCCTGGGAGTGAAGCGATGAATAAATGGCTGGACCCCGCCCGAAATACCTGGTCAAAGGAGCTACAATCAATTCTCAAGCCCTATGAGGGCGAACTGGAGTGTTATCCTGTCCCCAAGGAGGTTGGGAAAGTTGGAAATAATTCCCCGAACTTTATTGTTCCTGTCGACAGCAAGGAAAACAAAAGCAACATCGCAAATTTCTTCGCCAATGTGAAAACAAAGGAGGATCAAGACCCCTCTCTAAAGAAGGAGATGACGTCGCCGAAAGTGAAAATGGTTAAAGACGAAGACCGCCGCCCTACTATAGATTCGGAATCGACCGAGGACAATGCCCCAAAGCCGGGACCAGCTGTCAAAAGGGAGCATAGTACAGAAGCTTCTGATACCACAGAGGAAACTAAGAAGCGAAAGGTCAATTCAGATTCGACGGGGCCATCGCCGCAAAAGAAGAAGTTACGCAGTGCGACCCATAATAGCCCTATGAAGAAGTCCAGCGGGGCGAAGGCAACAGATGGATCGCAGCGAATTACAAGTTTCTTCAAGAAGTGATACGGCAAATTAAACTTGTTTTTTATCTGGTCAGCAATGGCTTTTTGATATATATATTTTTACTTGGTCAAAGTAGACATAAAATCCATGACCGAATCATATGTACTTGGCGACAAACTCGTATCTAATGCACCAAGCGAGCTCCGCTCCATGAAGAAGGAGACTCAGTTGACCTGCAAGATATGCTGAGTTGAGAATAGTCCAAGAGAAAGAGGACCGTGGTTAAAGAAAGATTGCGCAAAAGTCCAGCAGCATCCAAATGCGAGTGGACTGCAGAAGGCTGATATATATTTTACATGGGATTTTTGTGGGGTGATATACCCCAAATTTTGAAGTGATCACTTCTCAAGTTCTCGTAACTTCTGGACCAGCTTTTCTCTGAGGAAAGGACTCAACCCGAAACTATATCGATCAATTAACATCGAACACCATTGTGACAGAACACTAACAAGGGGGTACTTACATTCCATCCCGAGTCAGGATACGATAGGTACCTGCTAACTGTCAGCTTGGCCTGCTGAGTCTTATATAGTCGGAAAACATACCACTTGGCTGATAATTGCCATTTTCTCCAACAAACTGACCATTGGCATCCACCTCAAGGCTTCCAAACATATCCTCAGGCCTAAATGGCATTAGTATAAGCCTCATATGAAATAAATGTGTTTGAAACAAAGGCAAGCCCATACCAAGCAATCCGCCCATAGTCAGGTGGCCGTCTGGTGTCAGAGACATGAATCCATCCACCACGGCCACCTGCACCTGCACCACCTTGGCCACTAGCACCACTGCTCGAGTCGCCACGACGTCTCCCGCGCTGGCCGGTTAATAACACGCCGCCTGAGTTTAAGTTGGCCCCGCCCACAGACACCATGACCTGCGCTTGGGACTTCGCATCCGGATCTTCATGTGCGTACTCTGAGCACACTTCTTGTACTATATTCAGGAATTTCGGGTTTTCTTTGAAGGAATCTGTTGTCGGTGGCAGTTGAGTCGACAGTCCGATAGCCAAGTCAGGGTTGACTGGCTCAGAGGGTAATAGTGACAAGATATGGGTTCCACTTGCTGGCTCGGCATTTGGGAACACGTACTATCAAGAGTTTAGTTTCAATGAGGGCTTTGTAAGGTGCAATAATCACATACTATGTGTGGATAGCCTTCCAATGTTGATACACAACGGAACTGAGTCCATTTGGGGAGAACCCGGGCCTGTCGGCCAAATGCTCTTGCTGCAAACATCGGGATATAATATAGCAAGGTTCTTGGCAGCGAATAATCGAGTGATTAGGTAGCAAGTTGGATATGATCGAATTCGAGAGAGCTGGATCATAGCTCGATGGAAATGGCAGGCGGTTTCAAAGGCGGTGAGTATGCGTCAGAAGAAAAGTGGACCGGGTGAGCTAATTTGATGCCAGTTTTATCAGGCAATATATATCGCTATTAGTCATCATGTCCATACCTAGGGCCCAGGTACGCGGTCCAACACTGTCCACTTGAGCTGACATTGAACGCGAATAGGCACAATATATGCAAATAGATCAACGATACTTTCAACGCTTGCAATATACATGTTGTGTCCACTTACTACCTGACCAAAGACCAAGTCGGGGTCACCCGTCATGTAGTGTTGAGGCTAAAACGGGCAGCTGTAGTGTAGCTGATATTTAGAGCTGATTTACGTCGGTCTAGCCTATTCGAAGCATTCTATCGAGCCTAGATAGAGGTATCTACTTTGATGGGTTACCTGGTAGGAATATATCAGTCAATATATGGCCCTAGAGTGGTGAACAGTGCCTTGGGCATCATAATGCATCACCTTCTTGCCTGGAACGATTATACTATTTGTTCTCCCACAAAGCTAGTGACACATAAAGAGTCTAACGCATGATTTATTTATTCACATCCCCCTGAGACTAGGCTCATGTTCCTACACCTCACTCTTACCTTTTTTTTCTGCATCTTCCACAGTCTTGTGTCCTTGTTATTTCTTGATTTCACACACCCATTTTGCCTACAACTCGTTTGGTACCACTTGCCATGCCTCCCAAGGTGACAGAAATATTGAGGGGTCCTATACCCCCGGCAGATGTGACAAAACAGACCACAGAGGCTTCCGAAACCATGACTGGCAAGTCAAGCAACCACCGAAAACTTAAGGAGCACCCGGTCGTAATTGAAACTGGTTGGTGTATAGCCTGTTTTCGAGCTGCCTTGCGGGACTGGAATGAGGCTGCCTGGGAGCAGCCTTTGAAGGTGAACTGCGTTTGGGATGCTGTCACGTCTAGACTATGTCAGCGTTGTTACCGCGCGCGGGCCAAATGCGAAATGGTAAGTTGATTTCCCGTCCCGTTTCGGTTGCGTACCATGCTTATTTCAAATCAGTTGTATGAAGGGATCCGTGGCCATGGGTTCGAACTACACGCTTTGTTGGAGTGGGCATCGGAGTTTTGGATTAACGAGGAGTCTGGTTTTGGAGCGGCCGAGGATGTCGGGCTTATTCACGACCTTGACAGCGTTCGCGCTGCTGCCATCGCTGTACGGCAGCTTTGTTCTGCCTTTGACTGCTTGGTGAAGTCCCATGCTAGAGCTCATGCCTTAGGTGGCAAGAAGCGTGGAGCTGTGTGTCTCTCTTGATTTGGTCCATTTCGTGTGTGATAGTATCCACTAACAATTCGATTAGTCGGACAACTCTTCCTACACTCAATACTGTGCAACTGCGCGTAACTCGATGCAAAGACCGGCCCCTCTTGATCCTCGTCCTGACGGCACTTCGTACCCGAAAAGTGTTCAATTCGCACACCGTGCTCTTGAAAATCTCCGTCTTGATATTAATTCTAATGTCGGGCTACCCTGGTATGCTTCGGTTCTCTCTTTTCGACAAACTATCCAGGACTTGATCAAAGATAAATTTGACCACTCTGACCCTGCAACTGTGGCGTGGTATGCATACATGCTGGAGACGTTCCCTATTGTGACTCCTGATATCTGAGTACGGTACAATGCCGCTGTTTTGCTCTTTACTATTTGCCAGATTTCTTCATTTCTTTGTCTAGTGAGACATGAATTCTTGATCAATTTTGCTTAGCCAATTGTTCTGATTTCCTTGTTTCCATTTCTTGTATCTTGTAATGACTTCTCAGACATTCTTTATTGCTTCTTCGAGACCTCAGATCTGAATTCTTTCTAAATTCGACTAACCACTCCCTTGGGCTTGTCCATAAACCCGGGAGTAAAGGCAGTATGTAAAGAGTGCACTAAACCGTAGGACCGATGGAAGTACACACATAGTACATAGAGATTCAACTTTGAAGTATGTATAATCGCCGGCTACGCTGCTCGTGCCTTGGATTACGGTAATAGACTGGGCTAGCTGCTTGGAGGGTCTGTAATTATCGTAAGATATGTAACAGCCGGTTATGCATGAAATTGGTACATGATTAATAATAAAGTTTGGCATCTCGGGATCTCCCGAGGTCCCGCCTTAGTTTCCGCCCGGGCTTATTTTTAAAATGTGCCAAAACAATATTATGGGTCCTTGGATATTTTTGTAAATATAGATGTGCTCTATGTTGTGGTTCAGACAAATTGAATATCTCTCATATAAGGGAAACATTGATTTTACACAGAATATAGCCCTAATTGATTAGCCATTCGATATGCTGTCATAGGATCCCTGTGACCCTGTCCAGCTCTGAAAGTCTATCTGCAGACGCCTATCTTACCAGGCCCGACACATAAGCCCTACATATAGGCTTCATAAATGATCTACTCTACAAGACTCTCCGAGTGCTCGTTAGTCTCTAACAGCCGGGTATCACCATATGGCAATAAAGACCTGCAGGACAATCCTGAGGCTAGACGGCGTGGTCGATCGCAGGGTAGCTTGCGTAAAGTTGTTACAGAGATTTGGTTGTGAAACATAACGCTTTCTGGTGCCATGAATTTAGGAAGCGCTTCTTCCACTGCGGAGAGAACAATGGTTAATTTTTCTCGGCTTCGGATCGTTGGGGAAGCGAATATGCCACGATTTTTTGTTTTGCATATCGTCCTGTGGAGAGTCCATATGGATTAAGCCAACCAACATGGCGCTGCTATGGCCGATACTACCTGACGGAATGACAACATCCATGGTCACTCGAGTAGCTGCGGGATACTATCACGCCAGGTATGGCTCAACATCCGTAAAGCCCATACACTGCCCTCGATTCTTTGCTTTTGGTTAGGCCCTTTCCGTGGGCGTATTTACTCCGTTGGGAGAATAGCAAACGAGGTCCCCTGTTTTTAAGGAGCACTAACCATGTGATGCCGTGGGTTGAATCTGCATCAGCCAGTTAGGGGTCGGAATGTAATTTTGGGCTGCATGAGCAGGAATCTTAAGATACCACATCCTAGACTGGGATACTTGAGCAATAGTTTATCTACCCCACTAGGTGGTACCAGATCTCCGATATTGTTGGTGTGTTTGATCCAAGAATTGTATCGGTGAGTCGGCACTCCAATCTCCCGGTAGTTTAAGTAAGGCTATGGTTCGGCGTCAGCAGCTGTCTTCAGAGTAATATTATGTACGGTGTTCGTACCCTACATGTCTTGCTAGGCATCATGGATTCGATAGATCAATCTTGCATTTTATAGACTTGAAGCATCAATGACGAATAAATTTCATAGGTGCGAGCTTCCATGCACCAAATCCGTGTCATCTAGACTTAGTTATGAGCATGTGCCTCGATTTCAACAAACCTGCGCAGCACATGGATTAGTTCCTGGTTCTGGCACAGTTAGCCACACAAAGTACTACCCACAGCTCCTACACTGTTGGCGAAGCGAGGGGATATTTATCGTGTCGAGTCTCTGTTTGCTACTGTCAGTATTTGATATCCGGCGTTATATGTACTCCCAAGCACTCCAAACGTGAGTGTTAGTTTTCAAACGGAAAAAGCTGCTGAAAACGAAGGCAACTCTCATAAACCAACTGGAGTATTTAGGAGCAGTGATGGCCCAGTTCGTACCATCAAATTGTTCTGACTCACAAGTCAACACCAAGAAGCAATAGTCTATGTATGTCCCATTGGGATATTGTCTGCTGTGACGTCCTATGAAGCCATCGGATCCCTAGACTACTCCCTAAACTATCAGATAACGATCCTAATCCTCGCTACTTAGTCAAGCAATTATCCCAATACCTAGTTGTTAATTATTATTTCAATCAGACAGTTAATTGAATCCAATTAACAAGTACACACAAGTCCAGGTCGAATGGATCAAGGACTATGATTCAATGGGAAATGGGCCATATATGACGATGAAGACAAACAGTGCAAACACACGTGACCATGCCTGTCTTTTGAGCTGTCTGTTTTGGATGTTCTCTGGGAAAACGAATCGCGCTTGTTAATTGCAGAGTCCATGGGATCGGGGGAGCTTTGGATGCGTTATGATATTTGATCTGGGTAATCATTTGACAGTCTTTCCCTCGCGCATTCATCAAATCCACACTTGCGTCGGTGAGAATTAAATCGCATTCAAAGATACCAGGCTTCCTTGCGTTCTGTGCTTCGATATTTCTTATGATACCCATTTTTTCAGACGGATCTGACTATATCTAATTTTCAATTACTCTTCACACTCTACTCTGGCCATTCCTTTCATTTTACCATGGCGACCCCCTCGGCCAAACCTGGCGCAACGCCAACTCATCTCTCCTCTCCCCACCCATCCTCCGCTCCTCTATCTCGATCTCTCGCCCATAAATCGCCCTCGATGAGAACGCCAACAGCGTCAGGACCTGTCCCTGTGCATCACACGAGTGGCTCGTCCCATCAGTACGCTACCCCTCTCGCCGTCCCCAGTGGGGTCGACGACACCGTGAATTTTAGCTCGCCTTCCGCTCTTTTGGCGCTTGGTGGATATACTGGCATCAGTCCTTCACCTGCGGTGCATGATGGTCTTGTTGGTGCGGGCATGAACGAGAATGACATGCAAAACCTCGGGATGCAGGGAATCAAGCTCGGAGTCGCACGCGACAACGACCAGGAACAAAGACATCGCGTTGAGGAGGTCGTTCAGCTTCTACGAGCCCGAGTCTCTGGTAGAGGAGTTTCACGTGAAAGCGTGGAACGGCTGAGCCGACTCGAAGATTTCGAGTCCATCTGGCAGGACGATAATCTCAACATCGCTGGTAACTTCGTCGATCTTGAGATCGATTTCTACGCCGGCCAGGATGTCGTCAAAGATGTCAGTCTACGATATGCCACGCCTGAATACACGGAAGGTGTGCGGCGCGAGGAAGCTACGGCGGTCTTGAAACGTACCCTCGCCCAGTCCCCAGAAGACGCTGAACGTGGGAAATGGAGGTCGCTCCAAGAGTTCCATGAAAATCTACGATGGCTTGCAAAGCTTGACAAACTCAGCCAAGAGGTCAATTGCTTTGAGGCCTTGGAGAATCTTGAAGAGAACTTTAGGCGGATCTGGGTGGAAGAAGGCAAAAATGGGAAGCACGGAGGCGAGTATCAGCATCTTTGCGCAGGTGTTCTCGGACGGCCAACTATGCATAAGGGGAGTCGAATCGGACTCGGCTTGGAATATTGGGTTGAACAGGCCAAAGTCCTGGATGCGAAGCGGAGTCTCTCATCTCTAGATTCTATGGAGATTGACCCGCAATATGATCAAAACTCAAAGGACGAGTTGGATGATCAAGGCAGATCATGGACAGTCATGATTGAATGCGAAGAGGGGTATCCGTCACTGCGCATTTCAAAGGAATGGGTTGGAAATGAGGCTTTTACTGCAGGTGAAAGCACTGAATTGCTTCCATCAAATGGTGCCTCTGGGTCTGTGAACTGGCTTGATCCTCCGCAGACCATGCGGTTGACCCATGGCAACCATGACCCCATGGCGTTGGACTCTAGCATGCTAGAATCATCGCCACCCAACCGTCGGTTCGTCGGCAGACTTGAGCCTGCGCTCGATGTTCCTATTCTTGCAGCCTCCGAGATTTATCGTCAGCTTGGTATGCAGCTACCACAAGAGTTTAAGATGATCACGTACGATGCGTTGTTAGTATCAGAATCTTCGCCGTTAGGGTCACCAGTTTCATCCCCTCAAATTGGCCGTAGAAAGCGCCGGATGTCAGTGCATGCTGTTGACTCAAAGGGCGAGCAATATACGAAGCAACATAACTACACTTTCCAATCTTTCGAGTCCATTACAGGTTGCACCATCCGTGACCTACCCTTCTCGCACCCCCGACAGCTCGCGGATATGATTCCGGTATGTGTGTTTTCGTCTGATATCGTACTTGACTAATACGATTTAGATCTTCCGGCAGTATGCCGTGTTAGCCAACTTGATTCGGAAGACGTTCCATGTTCCCTCCAAGGACCAGGCCAACGTAACCGAATCTTCGAATGCCACCCCCAAAAATACCCGCGCTCCTCCTGTACCACCCCCAGACCTCTTCGCTGGCCACGACGGGCCCATAATTTTGAGCAACGATGATCCTAATGAGGAGAGGCTGAATATGCTGCTGGGTCTGAATAGCTCGGATGATAGCAAGACTGACTCTGGAGTTGAAAGTTCAAGCCTCTCCAGTGGAGGAAAGAGTCCCAATCAACTGTCCGTTGACGATGTCAAAGTCGACGTGACATTGCGTATCCAACTCGGCCAGGCGCCTGCTCTCATGTTACTCATCACAGACCAGAGGAACTACAATGATAAGCCTGAAACCGCTCGGTCCATGCAAACCCCCAGACAAATTGCAATTTGCTTTGAAGTCGGGCTGAACGGTCATATCTCAGTTGTGGATACTGCAGGGTTAGTGGACGGTGACACGAGTGGCGACACTGAAATGCAGGGTATGGATAACCTTGATCCAGGTCTCCAGGATGTACAAAAGAAGATTGCCAGAGTGCTCGAGGTCTCGCAAGACTTGAGCATCTTGGTTGAGTGGGTATTGCGATGGATGCAACAGCGGGCTGGCAATGGGTGAGATTT